ACCAGGCTCCTCCGTCCATGGGATTTTCCAGGCAAAAGTACTGGAGCGGGGTGCCATTGCCTTCTCTGCTGATGTTCATAGAAGAAGGTAAATTACAGAAATTGGCTAAGTTTGGAACTATAGGCAAAAATTCTAGAATAGATTATTAATGATGGTTTGTGAACAATTAGGAGGTGGTACTCACTAGGAGACAGGAAGATCTCACAATTAAACAAGTAACATGACTTTGTTCCTTTCCTAACTGGGTATGTCATGACTTGAATGAAAAAACGGTAATATTTGGCTCAAGGTCAAGAGACTTTGTTTCTAAGATGGAGAGTTCTTAACAAAAATTCTGGCAAAGCAGGAGGTGATGAATCCTAAAAGTGAAGCAATGAGAGGATTCCAGAACAAAGAACTAGGTATTATCTACCATTGTCTTCTAATGCCCATCATGGGGATACAGAAGGAAGGGTTAGCTGCATTATAAGGATCAGAACTGGGTGGACACTAGTAAGAAATCTCTTATAGGATGCATGATGAAATATAAGGGCATTGATCACAGATGGTAGTAAAGGTGATCTTTGCCATCATCATCATTGTCATTCATATCAAAATAATATGAATAAACTCATCACTTGGGAGGGGGCTTATTATTTTGCTAAGACAGTTCTAAAAAGTTGACACTTTCAAAGCAATCCTATGAGAGAAGAACTATTATTTTCTTTCTGTAGATGAGAAAAGTAAGGCACAGAGAGGCTGAGTAACTCTGTTCAAGGTCAAAGCTAACAGGTGACAAAACTGGTATTGAAATTTAGGTCCCAGAGACTGCTCTTGAGCTATAGTCCAGGGTTTATAGTGAGAAAAACAAATGAACCCCTGAAGTACTGAGCAGTATATGGATGTCAATCTCAACAGAAGTCTTGAAAGGTATACACTCCAAAGTTCTTAACTTAGCCCTGTCCTGTCGAACATTTTTAAAATGACATATGCAAAGAAACCAAAAGATTGCTTATAAAATCAAGAATGACATGGAATTTGGAGGAATAGCTATGATTTTTTTGATGACAGAATGAGGATTCAAAAATATCTCAATAGACTGAAATGATGAGCTAAAAATAACATTAAGTCCAAAGGCTACATGTGAGATCATGAATTTAAGTTAAAAAAAAATTCCTTCAAATACAGCTTAGAAAAGATAAGGTCAATTTCAGCTAGTATTTCTTCTTACACTTTCCTACCGTCTACAGCCAGACAGTGATCATGTCCTACAAATTCACCCCCTCGTGTCTCTTGGTCTGCCCCTTCCCCTCCATTTCCCCCACGTCTCCTCTAATTCAGGCGCTCTGCCTCTCTCCACTACACCTCCACATTCTTGCCTCTCCAATCCATCTTCCTCAAGCTCAGAAACATCTCCCTAAAGCACAGGTCTGCCCTGGCACTGTTTACTCATCCACAGTGATTCCCACTACCCAACTTCAAAAGGTCAAGTTCCTTGAACCTGGTATTCAACAGCCTCTATTTTGGCTTGGCCATCTTTTCCAAAACCCAAATATCCATCATTTGTTCATCCTTTTCCTGCTCTTCCCTACCTTCTTGACATTGTTCTGGTTCCTTCATTCCTTCAGCTTAAATTCTGTCTGAATCCTCCTTATTTTAGGGACTTCCCTGGTGGTCTAGTGGCTAAGACTCTGCGCATCCAATGCAGGGGCCCCAGGTTTGATTCCTGGTCAGAGAACTGCATCCTGCATGCCACAACTAAGAGTTTGCGTGCTGCAACTAAAGATGCAGCCAAATAAACAAATATTTTTAAAATCCTACTCATTCTTCACAAGCCCAAGTTTGTATCTTTCACCAAGTCTTTCTTATCCTCTGTAATTTCTTCTTCCTAGAACATGTCATCATTGCCTAACTTACCATATTTTCTATCATAAGTTAATGCTGTGGGCATGTATGGCTGCTTTCTTTGTCTCCTATTTTCCTTTCTATGCTTTACCAAGAATGTAAGCTCACTAAAGATATCGTCTGTAACTGACTACATAGTCCTACACATTCACATGCAATGAAGGATGTGTTTTGGCACTGGGTCCTGCAAAAAGAAGGCAGTGGTTTTGCTGAAGTATGAGAGCACATCTGGAGCACTGGGCTCAGAGTGGAGTGCTCCTTTTTTAAGACAGACACTGTCAGGCTAATGGCAATGAAGAAAGAAGAGTAGGATGGTTTGTGGACCCAGGATGCATCAGAAACCAAGGATGTTCAATCTAGAGTGAAAAAACCAAAACTACTAAATGGACCATGACAGACATCTTCACATATCTGAAGGGCTGTTCACATGTAAGGCTGAAACTGATTTGGAAACACTCCAGGAAAAAGAACTATCCTCAATCTGAGTATCATTTCAAAACAAGAATGCTCAACAATGATCACTGCACTCTGTGGATTTAGTAAGCTATACAATCTCCATTATAATTAATACTCACTGCATTATTATGTGTTAGAAATTATGGGCTGCCCTTGAACTTCTCTGCTGGCTCAGACGGTAAAGCGTCTGCCTACAATGAGGGAGACCTGGGTTCAATCCCTGGGTCGGGAAGATCTCCTGGAGAAGGAAATGGCAACCCACTCCAGTATTCCTGCCTGGAAAATCCCATGGCTGGGGGAGCCGGGTAGGCTACAGTCCACGGGGTTGCAAAGAGTCAGACAAGACTGAGCAACGTCACTTCACTTCACTTAATGAAATATAAAAAAGAGAAGACATACCTTGCTTTAAAAAAAAAAATTCTTAAAATTCAATGCCACTTAAAGTAAAGGTAAAAATAGAGTTTTAAAATGTTTTTTGACTATCATTTGGTAAATGTGACATTGGTACAGCCATTATGGAATTTAGTTTTGTAAAGTTAAAAATACAGCTTTGGTCCAGAAATTCCACTCTCAGACAACTAATTAACCAAGGGCAATGGCTTTTAAAATTTTTATGTGTATCTCTTAAAGGAATTTTGAAAAACTGTATTCTCTTTCCCAAATTTTAAAATTGAAATTTAGGGTGTTTTTTTCTTTTTTTTAAGCATGAGTTCAATGGTTATAAAATACATAATTTTTGGCACATTATAAATATTGATACTTTAAATCACTATTTTAAGTGTAACCAATAGAATCTCAGTACCCTAGGGATTTGATATCCACCACAATACATTTAAAATATATGAAAATAAGCTTGTAGTTCAGCTGGTAAAGAATTTGTCTGCAATGCAGAAGACCCTGGTTTGATTCCTTGGTTGGGAAGATACCCTGAAAAAGGGAACAGCTACCCACTCCAGTATTATGGCCTAGAGAATTCCATGGACAGAGGAGCCTGTCAAGCTACAGTCCATGGGATCACAAAGAGTTGGATACAGCTAAGTGACTTCATTAATTATTATTAGTGGTTAAATATTTTTCATTTTTCTCTTTGAAGTATTATTTCTATTTCATTTCCTCACCAAGTTTTATCCTAATGGAATATATCTTAATGCCTGAAAGTATTTTATTATTAATCTATTTATAGTTTTCTGCAAAAAATTCATCTAATTAAAATCTAAAAATTTAAATTAAAATTTTATTTATCAAAATACTAAATGTTAACATTTTTGTTTGATGTGCCATTAGAATTATCACTTGGGTATCACAATTACACAATTGAGTATAACATATATGTTGATTATATGTATGATTTTAACCTAAATGTATTAACATTCTTGATGAATAATTACTGAACAAAAAAAAATATTATTGGGAGTGCATCTTTCAGTGAAATGACTGTTTCTGGTTTCTTTTTTTTTTGGTTCATGTAGCTGTGGATAAATATTATTTAATGTTGGAGTTTAGGAGGTTAAGCATCTATCTATCTTACATTCTTGGCCAGATTAATCTTCCCTAAACACTGCTTCCTGGCTTACTTATGATGGCTCCTTATCATCTATTACTCAACATCTAAATTTCCAAGTCTTATTTTTTAAGACCCTTTGTTATATGGTCTTACTTTTCCTGTTCAACATTATTTCCTACTATCTTCTCTTAGGAACTCTGTTCTACTCGAACCTCTCCCTCCTCAACCATCCATCTAAATATCAAATAACTATGCTTTTGCTGATTCTTTATCCCTGCAATGCTCCTATTTCTTCTTTCTACCTCCCTAAATCTCATCCATCTTTCTAAGGTTCTGAACCTATCTCACCTTCTGTGAGATTTCTCTTGACTCCAGCCTGTCACTCTCTTTCATGTTTTATTCCTTCTGCTTTTACAGTCCATAGTGTACAAGGAGGACCTGGTCCTGTGCTATACTGTCTATCCTTAATTATATAATCACATAAAATTTTTCTTCCCTAATTGTTTCAGGTCTTGTCAACCAGACCATAATTTGTTCCTATTATTAGCTTTTTACAAGAAATGCTATGATCTTTTCTACAAGCTCAAAGAGAATTTTGAACTCAGAGAAAAGAAATCAGGAGGAAAATGAAAGGTTTTCAAGTTTATAACAATGACCTTTCACGTCCGCTGATGCTAAAAACAGGGTAACCATCCTTTCATGACAGTAGGAATGCTATAGATTAACTATCAGGAGGGATACATTTGTACTAACTAAAAGAAAATCATATAGATTATTAAGGGTTGCTAAGAGTTCAAAATTGCTTTCTTTAAAGATCTTTTAGAATCACAAGAGGGGTTAATCAAATCTGGAATTTCCTTGAGGAAGACACACCTTGTGATTCTAGATGTTCGTAAAAATCAAGGCTGACGCTTCATCTAAGCCACTCGGTGGCAGTCCGAAGTGGCTCTGTCCCTTTGTCCCTTCCATTCTCTGTGGATATACATGTATGTGTCTAGACTATTGCTTTCGTCTATGTTCTCATCAGGCTTCTTGACAAACTGAAGGATGATCCTCTTCTATAATGGTGGAAATTGAGGCTATGAAGGCAACACCACCAACCACCCCATGGTCAAGTTCTGAACTGACTTTGCTTCGCTCCCACCAGACGCTCTACCTGTGGGCTGCAGTGCAGATGTCCTTGTATTCCTGGAGCTTCACGCACACCATGTTGAGGAACTGATCCGAATAGGCACTCAAGTCGTGCATCAGGTTCAGGAGGTCTTGCACTGTCTTCTCCACAATGATTGTGCTCTGGAAAAGAACACGAGCGAACACAGAAGCTTATGAGGGTTCGGACTCAGGTAATGTGTAGGACAAGGAAGGACAACTAAAGGATGTAATCACTTAAGACACCTGAACTTTCCTAGAAGGACACGACATTTAAAAATAAGGCGAGGGTGGGATGTTTCAAGAGAACAGCATCGAAACATGTATATTATCTATAGTGAAACAGATCACCAGCCCAGGTTGGATGCGTGAGACAAGTGCTCGGGCCTGGTGCACTGGGAAGACCCAGAGGGATCGGGTGGAGAGGGAGGTGGGAGGGGGGACCGGGATGGGGAATACATGTAAATCCATGGCTGATTCATGTCAATGTATGACAAAACCCACTACAATATTGTGAAGTAATTAGCCTCCAACTAATAAAAATAAATGAAAAAAAAAAACAAAAAACAAACAAACAAAAAATACTCAACGAAAAAAGAATTAAGTATCTTACATAGTGCTGATCCTCCCAAGACCTGAGAAGGTGTTTTTTATGGAAGGACACAGCACAGAGAATTTCAAATTGATTTCACCAAATTCTTGGCATTCACAAGATATCTCTATGTGGCTTTTAAGAAAGGAAATACATATTCAGTTGCAGTCAGATTTATCACCCTCAGGGTTCTACTTTCAGATTAGGGATCCATGACAGGCAGCCTGAAGAAAAAGCCTTCCAGGAGTTGTTTTTAAAAGTTTCAAAGCCATCAATCTATTAAGGATACCAAATAACATGTGTATTGTGCCTTACAGCTTGTAGAATGTTTTCACATATACAGCATATGTTACCCTCACTTGAAACGCACATAATAATGATAATCATGAACACTTACGGATTCTTACAAGTGCAGGGTACTGAGCTAGACACTGTACATGCTTTATCTCATTTAATCCTCTCAACAAACCTACCTATCAACTGAATCCCTTAACCATCCCCAGTGTAAAAAGGAGGAGACAGGCTTAGAGAAAGAAAAATGAAAAGCAGGGACTCCAGACTGCAATCTTTTCACTACACCATTGCGCTTTAGAAACATTTCTCACGAGATCATCATACTTCTTGTTTTTGTCACTGTAGAAGCAGTGTCCAAATAGATGTGTTTTAAAAGCGAATTAAAGGAATATCCAAGGGAAAAAATAAACCCATCTTTAGAGACTAATAATACTGTGTGGTGAAACAATGCTATATCTAAACAGAGGCATTTTCAATAAATTCTAAATTTTTGCTTAAGAAAAAAAGAAAGAAAGTGGCAAGCCATGCCAGAAAAAAAGAAAAGGTATAATTGTTCAAACCATTTGTTTGTGTCTCTTTCCCAAAGAGCACAATTACACAGGAGTAAATATTAATCGCATGCTTAGCATTTTGGAATCCTTCGGTCAATAATTGGTTTGATGAATATGTATTTATTTATATAGAATTCCAGACTGAGCCAGAAAAGTAAACACCAAATTTTTTTTTTTCCAGTCTGACAGTGACATTTGAAATAATCAAAGGCATTTAATTATGCTTAAATACAGACTCTAGGGTACAGGGTTTTGGTTTTCTTTCTTCTATAGACAAAAAGAATGGACAAAAGTGTACAGCTTTTCTCAACACAGTGGAGGACCAGCTTAAGTTATGAGTTTACACGTATGCACTTATTTAGGCTTATTTGGTTCTAGAGGTTTCTTCTTTGCCTCTCCTCTCCCCACACCCCAAGTAAAATAATCAGAAGATGAAAAGGAAGGAGCAGTTACATCGTGTAGGGAAAACTCCATGGGAAACCAAATTACAGTCTCTATAGAATCCCCACAAATTCAACTTCCTTTTCTGTATTGATTTTAAGATTAAAGCACTGCAGCTTCCCCCTGATCCATAATTCTGTTCCTTGGTGTTTGTGTATGAGTGACAGGAATTGATTCTGCTCAGCTACATGTCCCTATGCTGCTATGAAGAATCAAAAATCCTCATCCTGATTAAGAACACAGGATATCCTACCACACTTGGACAGCAATTAATAAAGGAGAGTGGACTCCAGCCATCCTAACAAAGGCCATTTAAAATCTGAAACACTGCAGGGAAGGTGAGCACAAGCAGATGGCTCAGATCACTAAGAGAAAGGGCCTGGTTCTACTTCCAACCACGCTATTGACAATCCACGCTGGGACAGTTTTGGGGAGCGCTGGCCTTTCTGATGGCTCCATCTAGCCTTCTGGACATCAAGGATGACTTGATGGTCCTTTGCTGGCCTTCATCACTCAATTGGTACCTTGGTGCTTGCAGACTTGGACTGTTCCAGGTCATCTCAGGTGTGTTTGTTCCTCCTGATTAGACTATCACCTTCTCAAAAGTGACACCAGTATTCTTCTTTTCTAAAACCTCCCGTGTGTTACACAGTAGCTTCCCTCTAGCTATCTATCTTACACATGGCAGTGTATATGTCAGGGCTACTCTCACAGGTGGGATGCAGGTGGGTGCGAGGGAGGCTTATGAGGGAGTGGATATGTGTACACTTAGAACTGATTCACACTCTTGTACAGAAGAAACGAACACAAGGTTGTAAAGCAATTATCCTCCAACTAAAAATATCTTAAATTCAGCCAACTTAAATAAAAAAAAAAACAAAAATAAAATATAACCTTCCCACCCTTCCCTTTCCTCATGTGTTCTGTTAATTTCTTAGGATCTTCAGCACAGTACTACTAATCAAAGAAACAGGGCTAATACTGTTAACTCATATAAATAATGTGAGGGATGTCATATATGTGAAGGATGCTAGACACACACATCTTTGCATTTTGAAGTCTCTTTGGGTGGATTCGGTTTGGTCTATACTTATCTCAGGGCTTTTGGGTGACCAGAATTGTGCTGATGTCAGTTGGAGGGGAAGGCGAGGTTGGAAGCACATAGAAATATCCTCTGGAGATAAAGGTTTTGGGGTAGACAGAAAGTACCTGCAGGGAATGATTAGAATGCCATGGTTTAATTCTAATGGTTATGCTCAACACAGGGCCTATGTGATGCTATATGATTATATACAATTTTCCAGCTATTTGCTTGGTTTACCTTGTCATGGTAGCACTCTGGATAATCAATCACTACATTCTCTTCAAGGAAAATAACACTGTAGTTTGCCAAACGATGGGCATTTTTACAGACGAAAAAGATTCCATTTTCCAAGAATTTAAAACAATTTCCAAATCAGTGGCTCTGACAGATAAATACTGAAAATATCAAATGTCTAACAAGGTCAATCCTGTTTTTATTTATTTGATCCCTTTGGCATCACAAATGATTTATTGTCTCATTATTAATTTGGCGATTTGCCAGTGGTGACTATAATGACTTCATCATAAGTAAAACCTTGATTTTATTCATTATAATTGCCATTAAACATATCACACATGATTGATATTTGTTTAAAAATAACTCAATTCTCATTTCTTGCAACCTATTACCAGGTAATAAGTCTGAGCTTGACATGAAAAATGAGAAAAGGAAAAAAAAAAAAATCCCAGGATAGCTGAGGCAAAAAAAAAAAAATTGCTATGAAGAATAAACAACTAAAGTTTCTTACAGGGATATATCAGCAATGTAAAATAAGAAGATGGTATATAAGGATCAGCTCTTTGGTTCTGCACTTAAAATTTTCAATGAATGAATAAATGAATAAACATGATTGGACATTAAGGACATTGTCCACTTAGCCCAAGTCCTAGTGGGGTACAGCAACCAGTGGCAAACCTTTTCTTTTAAATAGGAGTATAGCTGATTTACATTGTTGTGTTAGTTTCAGGTATACAACAATGTGAATCAGTTATATGTATATATATATATATATATAGCTGTATATATATATGTACACATATATATATACACACACACATATATATACATATACATAGCTATATATATATATAGCTGCTCTTTTTTAGATTATTTTCCCATACAGTTCATTACAGAGTATTCAGTAGAGTTCCTTGTGCTACACAGCAGGTTCTTACTAGTTACCTGTTTTATATATAGTAGTGTGTATATGTCAATCCCGATCTTCCAATTTATTCCTCCCCCATTTAACCCCTAAATAACCATAAGCTTGTTTTCTGTACCTGTAACTCTATTTTTGTTTTATAGATAAGCTCATTTGTACCCTTTTAAAAGATTCCATGTATAAACAATATCATGATGTTTGACTGTCACTTCCTTACTTATAGTCTCTTCCATCACATTACAAAATCCTTTTGATGGGTGACTATACCCTCATATCTCTACTGCCTAGGAGAAGGTATCTGGCACATTGCAGGTGCTCAACAGATGTTTATTAGATGAACTGATGCACATTCAGAACAAGGGGGGTGAAAAGACAGAATAGAATTATAAAGGAGGGTAATGGTTCAAAAGCCTGATTTGGTAACGCTGAATCAGAATATGATCTCTTTATTACTACATCACTGTATCTTAATTCTCATGGTTCTAAAGACTGAAGATCTTAGACTTCTCTATGAAAACACTCCTAATTTCACCTAATTGCTTTATTTTTCTTTAATGACAATCCATAAATATATATACACACACACAACTAAATTGTTAATTTAAAGTTTTAAGATATATAAATAAATTTTCAACTCAGGAAAAAACAAAAAACTTCAGTGTGGAGAATGTGGTCTCTATATGTGTGCTGTTTTAGCCCTTGGATCAGGGATGGTTCAGAGATGCTGCAAATAGCCTAGGGTCCTGGGAAACTGCTTTAGGAAGAATTTGAAAGAAAACAGTAAATCCATCTATCACTTCAGACATGCCCCACCACACCCTCTCAGCAAGACACACAGCAATAATTGTGGAGGGAGGGGGTTTTTCTAATATTTAATGATGACAATGTTTCTGTTTAGGAGGATATATCCAACTACAAGTTGCCAGATCTCATCATTGCATATTGTCCTTCCAGTTACTATCAGCTCCGAGTTGTTGTTGGTTGTAAACAATAACAACAACAATAATGACAGAAATCTTC